TGGCTACAGTCCTATCTCTGTACAGTCAGAGATTGGACTGTACAGAGATAGTCCTGGTATTGACCTCCAAACCCTATATGTTAGGCAGTTTTTAGATAGTATTTCAATACAAACGGGTGTCCCACAAGGCTCCATACTAAGCCCAACCCATTTTGCTGCATTCTTGGTAGATTTACCTAACACCCATCCTGTTCACCTATCAGTGTACGCTAACAATTTAACATTGTATTATTCAGACAATGCCCTACCTAATACAGTCTCAACAATGCAAACAGCACTTGACCACTTCATTGCTTGGACACAACAATGGGGCCTCCAAGTTAGTACTACCAAAACCTATCAGATTTTCACTAAAAAAAAAAAAAATATATATATATATATATATATATATATATATATATATATATATATATATATATATATATATATATATATATATATATATATATATATATATATATATTATATTATATATACTTGTTAATCTACCCAACCTCCTAAACAGATGACACAACCACTCCCACCTGGGGAGCACACCATAAAATTTTACTCCGTTTCTATACAACCTACATTTTGCAGTTACCTAGACTATTGTTGCCAGGCATATTCGTCGGCTGTGCCTACTAACCTACAGAGCTTTGAGGTCATACAAAACAATGCCATGCGACGCAATGCATTCCACTCGTATCCTCGGCCCTCACAAGCTTAGCCACCAGACGAGACACAATGTGTGCCAACTATCTGTCACTCTGTACCACTGCTCACCAGACACACCCATACAGATCAACAAGTGACATAACAGTCAAATGGCTAGTAAGAGTAAACAAGCCAGTGGCAAAAGGTTGTGGGTGTAGTTCGTTTGTGTCTAAGGCAATGTTTAAGTGATAATGCGTCTAGCTTGGGCGAGTGGTGGACCCTCAGGCATCTGCCCGGCTGTGCGCCTCGTGGCCCATTGTCATGGCAACCCGGCATACCAACCTACTTCCTGCTGTGCTTGATAATCCAAATGATCTCCAACCAATGGAAGCAGAGTCCGTCTGGTTCCACTGGATGGAAAATTGGAAAGTGAGTGGCAGCTACATCAGTCACAACATGCTTCAAGAAATTCTAGGCATGCATAATTTGCTCATGGGTAGGAGATAATTGGTAATGATGAGAGCAACACAGGAACCCGAGTGAAGAATGTGGAGGTGGGTGACGGTAGGACCACACAGCAAGGGGAACGGCCTCCTTAACAACTTCTCCAGAACATTATTGAACTCAGTCTGACCAAGTCTAACTTCTGCCTACATGTGTGTGTTACATAAGCAAGATGATGTCATCAGTCGGCTGGTTGAAGGCGAGTTTGGTAATATAGTTTACCAGATATGTCATCAATCACCCTAGAAAATTTAAGGAGTATCTTGTTGCCAGTTTTTCAAGGGAGTTTTCTGTTGATAGAGCTGTTAATCTTGAAGGGGTCTACATGGCAAGACGGATAAACAAGGATAGTTAACCTCTCAAAAGAATCATTGTCTGGAAAGACAATGAACCTCATCATCAACAACATTGCTTCCTTGGAAGTTTCATCCAACCAAGTTCTATTAGACCTTGGATATCCTCTCCTGTTATCTGTTATAATTGCCACGGTACTAATCATGTGTAAGTACTGTTGACGTGAATATGTGTGCAGGTTCTGTGCTGACTGTTACGAACCTTACCTCCTGTGGAGGTTAGTTTCAAGTATAAAATGTTGGTGGACACAGTGGAGAATTTTTGATAGGAAAATATCTACAGCTGATTTCAGGGAGGCCGCGAGTTACCAGTAATACTCCGCCCAGCAAAGTAGTACCTTCTCAGCTGGAGATTGTCAGGAATAATGTGAACTGGAATAGCCTAACTATGTGAGGGAAAAATGTACTCCATCTCAAAGCATGCATGGGGAATATGGTAAATAAAGTCAATAAAGGGTTTGATTGCAAATGTAAAACAGAGTATTAAGGGGCGATGACGCAAGAGAGGTGGACGCCATCTTGACTGGAGGGGAGGTGGATACGTTGACGACCAGATCCTGCTATTTGAGGGGGGTTTTCCGGCCATACAGTCAGGTAAGCCCATCTTCGTATCTAAACAGGGTTACAAGATATTGTAGAGTAGTTATGCAGACTTTGGAGATGTTTGTAAGAGAGAGTCCAGGTTTCCTAGAGGTGTAAATGTGTGTGTCATCGGTGGATAGCTCTGGTGGCTGTGTGCACGGTCCAGGTTTGGGACGGAGAGCCTTAGGGTATCTAGAGCCCACATGGGGGGCTATATCACTCCAACTGACCATGTATTGTAAGGATATTACCTTACTGAATATGTTTGTGTGTCTTTGCATATAAATTTGTGTCTGTGTACTAGGCTGTTTTACCTTAATCCTTGATTTGCCCTAGGCTCAAGTACAATCATCTATTCCCCTAGACAACATTTAAAGGTCCACCACCACTAAATTCTTAACAGGCCTCTGTGACACAGCCATGACAAAAGTTTTTGACACACGCCCTCGTGATACAAGACCACCAAGATACCGTGACCACCACGATACAAGACTGCGTCCTCACAAGGATCCCCCCCCCCCTCCCTTATCTCTTAGGACAGTGAGGTAGCCTCTACTCTGGTCAGTGTGTCCCCAGTGTTTACTTGAAGGCATACATGTTTGGTATCATGACTGCACACAATGTTCAGTCTTCCCTAACTTATGTAGAGAGCCAGTGGTGTTTGGCCCAGCCGCACCAAGTACCCAGCAGGACGCTCCTGATATCAGCCCCAGTAAGCAGTTTCCAAGTATCGTCCAACTGAACCAAACAAAAATATAGGAATTGATTGGTTAAAGATGAAAACTACTGAATTTTGAAAATAAAATAACCATTAAATAAAAATCTGCTCATTGGTTGTGGAAGAGCGAGTCATGTTAGCGATAGTGGTAAAGTGAAGGCAGGATGGTAGACACCCCAGAGTTGCCAGGGCAGCATTGAGGCGAGATGGACAGCCTTCTCACTTCATGGTGATTTTAAATGAACTGTCGAACCTTCCCATCCGTAAGATTGATTTTACTTCCAAAAATGGTTTCAAGTTTATGAAAGTAGATATCAGTAAACCTCGGTTTATGGATAGTTTGGCTTTATTGACTGGTGGGTTAGACAAACTAGCCAAAGAACATATCAAGAATGGTAAACCTACCCACTACACCTCTGTTTTGTTTGATGACGTCCCTGTAGCTGCCCACTATTTATTAAAGACAGGTAAGAAGATATTCTTTTATGACTATATATCATCTTTGGATAAACTGAATGAACCTAATCTTCCTCTTCCTCAAGCATTCTATAATAGTTTATAGCACGAGACTGTGAATCAAACAGATTACAACCAGGCTAAAAAAAGTCTTTAGATTGGCGAAATGCAAAACCATTGAGGATTACTTGAAGGTCTATTTGAAAGTGAATACTGGGCTTTTGTGTGATGTTTTTACTGTATGGCGTAAAACATTGCCGGAGCTATTCAAATTGGACATTACACATTATGTCTTACTATCGAGTGTCACGTGGGATACTTTCTTGTTGAAAAGTCAAGTTGTCTTTGACTCTATTTATGATCCCAAACCGTATGATGTATTGTGTAAAATTAAAGATCGGATTTACTTTGGTCGTAAGATGATTCACGAGAGTAGAAATTGAACATACAGGTGATGCCTCTCTAGCAATGATAAATATATTTTGTATTTAGATTTTAATAGTCAACAAGCCACTTGTATGGCAGAAATACTTCCCTAAGGTGGTATTAGACAATTATCTGCTGCTGAACGTGATGATTTGCTCGAGCAAGGATTGGAGAATATTGCTTGTGAAGGGGATAAGAGTTATTGGGTCAAGTGTGATACTGAGCATGTCAAGCCTGAGGTGGCCCCATACACTGATGATTTGCCCTTAACAATTTCACATGCTAATATTACTACAGATCTGTTGTCTGATTACAGCAAACACATTTTAAATACTGAAGATAGGTAACTTCCAAAGAAAAATGACACATTTATTGTATCCCACCTACCCCCAAAAAGATTACTTGATAAGTTTAGAATTGTTACAGTTGCTCATGAAACTAGGATTGAAAATGTAGAGAATAAACGCAGTTTATGAATTCAGGCAGAGCAAGTACCTCAAAGAATTTGTCGAAACAAATATCCCAGAACGTACAAATACACCATGTTCTATAGTCCAAAGCTTTCAAGCTCGTTAGGAATGCTCTCTATGGCAAGAGTTTAATGGGCGTGAGCAGATATTGTGGCCGCGAGTAGAGCAGTTAGGCCCAAGGTGAGATGGACCGATGAAGATTAACGCCTCAATGGAAGAGGTGAGGCTGGAAGGCAGACCCCAGACAACCGGGGAGGTATTAACCAGAGCCTGCAACAACACTTTCCTTTGCAAACTCTGGAGTCCATTAAGAGTTAAAGACGAAGGACCGAGTACAAAGAATTAGGGATGGAATACAGAAATCGTGAGGATGGCAAGGGCTCGGAGACTAATTCACTGTCTAACTCATACAGAGAGGACGAGCAGCCTAGCCCATTAGGGAATCATAGACAGAGAGGCAATATGAGGGCGGCGGTGGGCGCTCCCGATGGCACTGAATTTGACATTCCCCCCCCCCCCCTGATAGGACCCCCCAGGAAGCTTCTTGGAAGGAAACTATGGTGGAATTCCTTGCAGCTATTGCATCCAGGGGCCAGGAAACTGGATGGGGAGGAAGAATTCCTTGATGAAGCAATCACTGACTTGGTCAGTAATTATAAGATTATGATTATAGGCTATAACGTGGATAGGATCCTTGAGCGGCATGTTCTAGTGGTTACTTCTACCAAAAGATCTGGTGACCACGCACTGTGCCCTCGCCCTGCACATAGAGAGAGACCTCCACCAATAAATCGTGCCTATCCAACCCAACCTCCGACTGGACAAAAGAGGGTGCGAAGAGCACAGTACACTGTGTCAAAGACTGTACGAGAAGAACTGTTCCAAGGCTGCTGCGTGCGTCCTCTCAGGAGACTGGCAAGTATCCCCCACTGAGGTGGAGCCAGCTCGTCTCTTTACATTCTGGGTGACACTCTTCTCTAGACCCACATCACCAGACCGCCGCCCAATTCGTGACTGTGATCCAGTCAACAACTGGGGGCCACATAACACCAGAGGAAATCCTTGTTGCTCTCAAGGCTAGTAGCACTTCAGCTCCTGGCCCAGACGGTATTACTATACGTTTACTCAAGTCCATACCAATCAGGGTGTTTGCAAAGTTGTTTAACCTGAGGTTGGTGAACGAATCCCTGCCACTCCCTTTTCGTAAGAATAAGAAAGTGGTGATACCTTAGAAACCGAATCTAGAAACTCCTTCCCACTATCGCCCCATAACCATGTCATCTACGATAGCGAGGCTGTTCCACAAGATTCCGAGCAGCAGACTCTCCGAGGCAGTCAGGATCGACAGACGGCAGAATGCTTTCGTCCCTGTGGTTGAGTGTCCTGAAAACCTGGTGATCCTGGATGCCTTCCTAGTCGAGGCTCGTGCGCCTCAATCCCACTTGTGATCCCAGGCCACATTCCTCCCCCTTGTGATCCCAGGCCACATTCCTCCCCCTTGTGATCCCAGGCCACATTCCTCCCCCCTTGTGATCCCAGGCCACATTCCTCCCCCCTTGTGATCCCAGGCCACATTCCTCCCCCCTTGTGATCCCAGGCCACATTCCTCCCCCTTGTGATCCCAGGCCACATTCCTCCCCCCTTGTGATCCCAGGCCACATTCCTCCCCCTTGTGATCCCAGGCCACATTCCTCCCCCTTGTGATCCCAGGCCACATTCCTTCCCCTTGTGATCCCAGGCCACATTCCTCCCCCTTGTGATCCCAGGCCACATTCCTTCCCCTTGTGATCCCAGGCCACATTCCTCCCCCTTGTGATCCCAGGCCACATTCCTTATCCTTGTGATCCCAGGCCACATTCCTCCCCCTTGTGATCCCAGGCCACATTCCTTCCCCTTGTGATCCCAGGCCACATTCCTCCCCCTTGTGATCCCAGGCCACATTCCTTCCCCTTGTGATCCCAGGCCACATTCCTCCCCCTTGTGATCCCAGGCCACATTCCTTATCCCCAGGCCACATTGTGATCCCAGGCCACATTCCTTATCCCCCAGGCCACATTCCTCCCCCTTGTGATCCCAGGCCACATTCCTTTGTGATCCCCTTGTGATCCCAGGCCACATTCCTTCCTCCCCCTTGTGATCCCAGGCCACATTCCTTCCCCTTGTGATCCCAGGCCACATTCCTTTGTGATCCCAGGCCACATTCCTCCCCCTTGTGATCCCAGGCCACATTCCTTCCCTTGTGATCCCAGGCCACATTCCTTATCCTTGTGATCCCAGGCCACATTCCTTATCCTTGTGATCCCAGGCCACATTCCTCCCCCTTGTGATCCCAGGCCACATTCCTCCCCCTTGTGATCCCAGGCCACATTCCTCCCCTTGTGATCCCAGGCCACATTCCTCCCCCTTGTGATCCCAGGCCACATTCCTCCCCCTTGTGATCCCAGGCCACATTCCTTCCCCTTGTGATCCCAGGCCACATTCCTCCCCCTTGTGATCCCAGGCCACATTCCTTCCCCTTGTGATCCCAGGCCACATTCCTCCCCTTGTGATCCCAGGCCACATTCCTTCCCCTTGTGATCCCAGGCCACATTCCTCCCCCTTGTGATCCCAGGCCACATTCCTCCCCCTTGTGATCCCAGGCCACATTCCTCCCCCTTGTGATCCCAGGCCACATTCCTCCCCCCTTGTGATCCCAGGCCACATTCCTCCCCCCTTGTGATCCCAGGCCACATTCCTTCCCCTTGTGATCCCAGGCCACATTCCTTGTGATCCCAGGCCACATTCCTCCCCCCCAGGCCACATTGTGATCCCAGGCCACATTCCTCCCCCTTGTGATCCCAGGCCACATTCCTCCCCCCTTGTGATCCCAGGCCACATTCCTCCCCCTTGTGATCCCAGGCCACATTCCTCCCCCTTGTGATCCCAGGCCACATTCCTCCCCCTTGTGATCCCAGGCCACATTCCTCCCCCTTGTGATCCCAGGCCACATTCCTCCCCCTTGTGATCCCAGGCCACATTCCTCCCCCTTGTGATCCCAGGCCACATTCCTCCCCCTTGTGATCCCAGGCCACATTCCTCCCCCTTGTGATCCCAGGCCACATTCCTCCCCCTTGTGATCCCAGGCCACATTCCTCCCCCTTGTGATCCCAGGCCACATTCCTTCCCCTTGTGATCCCAGGCCACATTCCTCCCCCTTGTGATCCCAGGCCACATTCCTTCCCCTTGTGATCCCAGGCCACATTCCTTCCCCTTGTGATCCCAGGCCACATTCCTCCCCCTTGTGATCCCAGGCCACATTCCTCCCCCTTGTGATCCCAGGCCACATTCCTCCCCCTTGTGATCCCAGGCCACATTCCTTCCCCTTGTGATCCCAGGCCACATTCCTCCCCCTTGTGATCCCAGGCCACATTCCTCCCCTTGTGATCCCAGGCCACATTCCTCCCCCTTGTGATCCCAGGCCACATTCCTTCCCCTTGTGATCCCAGGCCACATTCCTCCCCCTTGTGATCCCAGGCCACATTCCTCCCCCTTGTGATCCCAGGCCACATTCCTCCCCCCTTGTGATCCCAGGCCACATTCCTTCCCCTTGTGATCCCAGGCCACATTCCTCCCCCTTGTGATCCCAGGCCACATTCCTTCCCCTTGTGATCCCAGGCCACATTCCTCCCCCTTGTGATCCCAGGCCACATTCCTTCCCCTTGTGATCCCAGGCCACATTCCTCCCCCTTGTGATCCCAGGCCACATTCCTCCCCCTTGTGATCCCAGGCCACATTCCTTCCCCTTGTGAACCCAGGCCACATTCCTTATCCTTGTGATCCCAGTCCACATTCCTTCCCCTGTGATCCCAGGCCACATTCCTTCCCCTTGTGATCCCAGGCCACATTCCTTCCCCTTGTGATCCCAGGCCACATTCCTTCCCCTTGTGATCCCAGGCCACATTCCTTATCCTTGTGATCCCAGGCCACATTCCTTCCCCTTGTGATCCCAGGCCACATTCCTTCCCCTTGTGATCCCAGGCCACATTCCTCCCCCTTGTGATCCCAGGCCACATTCCTCCCCCTTGTGATCCCAGGCCACATTCCTCCCCCTTGTGATCCCAGGCCACATTCCTTATCCTTGTGATCCCAGGCCACATTCCTCCCCCCTTGTGATCCCAGGCCACATTCCTCCCCCCTTGTGATCCCAGGCCACATTCCTTCCCCTTGTGATCCCAGGCCACATTCCTTCCCCTTGTGATCCCAGGCCACATTCCTCCCCCTTGTGATCCCAGGCCACATTCCTCCCCCTTGTGATCCCAGGCCACATTCCTCCCCCTTGTGATCCCAGGCCACATTCCTCCCCCTTGTGATCCCAGGCCACATTCCTCCCCCTTGTGATCCCAGGCCACATTCCTCCCCCTTGTGATCCCAGGCCACATTCCTCCCCCTTGTGATCCCAGGCCACATTCCTCCCCCTTGTGATCCCAGGCCACATTCCTCCCCCTTGTGATCCCAGGCCACATTCCTTCCCCTTGTGATCCCAGGCCACATTGTGATCCCAGGCCACATTCCTCCCCCTTGTGATCCCAGGCCACATTCCTCCCCCTTGTGATCCCAGGCCACATTCCTTCCCCTTGTGATCCCAGGCCACATTCCTCCCCCTTGTGATCCCAGGCCACATTCCTTCCCCTTGTGATCCCAGGCCACATTCCTCCCCCTTGTGATCCCAGGCCACATTCCTCCCCCTTGTGATCCCAGGCCACATTCCTCCCCCTTGTGATCCCAGACCACATTCCTTCCCCAAGCATCACAAGGGGAAGGAATGTGGCCTGGGTCTGAGAACCACTGAACTAGAAGTTAATGTCACAATTTAATTTACTTAACTTGTTCTGGACTGAATAAAGAAAATTGAATATACAGATGAACAATGTTGCCGTTATTCAAGTTCTTCACACAATAACCTGCACCACACACTTAATGTTCACATGAGCAAGACAGTCCACTGGGATTAAGGTCCACGTAGGAATATGAAACAATAAGCTGCAGCAACACTCACCTCTGTCTTACGTACACCGTCCTCCCTGAAAATATAAAATGATCATAACTAAATATATTATAGTTTGATTACATTTGAATAGTAATTACTAAGGCGGGTTCTGCTGGGCTTCCAGTCCCCGCAGAGAACCGCACCTCGTGACAATGTGTTTCATTAGCTATTGTTCAACACTGTTCTTTCCTGATAAACAAGACCACTACACTCCAGTAACTTGCCGCTCCATAAGACCAGGAACTCCATAAGACCAGGAACAGTGCTCCAAACTCACCAGGAACAGTGCTCCACAAGACCAGTGCTCCACCGCTCCATAAGACCAGGAACAGTGCTCCATAAACCAGGAACAGTCTCCATCCTCTCTGCAAGCCATAAACTCCCCTTCTCCAGGAACTCTCCCTCTCTCCTCTCTCTCCCTCTCAATCTCCCCCTCCTCTCCTCTCCCTCTCTCTCTCTCCTCTCTCTCCTCTCCCTCTCTCTCTCTCTCTCTCTCTCAATCTCTCTCTCTCTCTCTCTCTCTCTCTCTCTCTCTCTCTCTCTCTCTCTCTCTCTCTCTCTCTCTCTCTCTCTCTCCCCCTTCAGAAGACAGCGAGTCACTGAGGGGTGATGCCTCGGATTGGCGAGGCATCACCAGTGGAGTCCCACAGGGTTCAGTCCTTGAACCTATACTGTTTCCGATATTAAGTAAATGATCTCCCAGAGGGGATAGAATCGTTCCTCTCATTGCTTGCTGATGATGCAAAAATTACATGGAGAGTTTAAAGAGAGGAGGAGAATATGAGGCTATAAGATGGCCTACACAGACTGAGTGAATGGTCCAACAAATGGCTACTAAAGTTCAGAGTAAATATAAGGTAATGAAACTACGCGGTGGAAACAGGCTAGACACAGGATACAGAATGGGAGATGAAGTCCTTCATGGAAACGGACAGAGGGAAAGATCTAGGAGTTGATATCACACCAAACCTGTCTCCTGAAGCCCACATAAAAATAATTACATTGGCGGAGTATGCGAGGCTAGCTAACATCAGAACAACCTTCAAGAACCTGTGAAGGGAATCATTCAGAACCTTGTATACCACATAAGTAGGACCAATGCTGGAGTATGCGGACCCCAGCACGGAGCCCGTACCTTGTCAAGAACAAGACGAAGCTGGAAAAAGGTCAGAAGTAAGTAAGTAATTATCAAAAGAAGGCACCAAACCGGGAAGGCTATGTAGCACCATCAAAGGCGCAAAATAATCAGAGGGCGCTAAATATCACCAAGGATGCCAATACGAGAACAAAAACGCATAAGGCGAACGATATCAAAAGTATCCGAGTCACCAAGAATTCTATTGAGGGACAGGTGACCGCGAGGGGCGGTCGGAAAGCAAGACACACGCTCGTCCTGGAAGTCAGGACATTCAAGAAGGACATGCACGACCGTAAGAGGGACAATGCAACTAGGACAATAAGGAGCAGGGCGGCGCTCCATCAAGTGACCATGGGTTAAGCGAGTATGGCCAATACGCAACCTCGCCAGAGCTGTTTCCCACCGCCGGTTACGGTGGAAGGAGGACGGCCACGAGGAAACACAACATTTAAGAGTACGTAGCTTGTTACCAGTAAGAGACAACCAAGAAGCCTGCCAACGGGTAAGGACCGAGGAATGGATAACCGGGTAAAAGTCGGAAACGGAATGCCTTTAGGAGACATGGGACAAGAGCGGACAGCTTCCTTGACAGCAGCATCTGCACGCTCATTTAAAGACACACCAATATGGCTGGGAACCCAACAAAACTCAACCGACTTAAATTTACTGTGAACAAGAAACAGCCAATGCTGGATCTCGACAACTACTGGATGAACCGGATTAAAGGACCCGAGAGCCATGAGGGCACTACGAGAGTCAACAACAACTACAAAGGAAGACTGACAACGAGAAAGCAGGAGACGAAGAGCATAGAGAATAGCATAAAGTTCCACTGTAAAGATGCTAGTCTCCGGAGGTAAGCGACACATATAAGTGTGATCAGGAAAAACAACAGAGTAGCCAACACCGTCCGCCGACTTAGACCCATCGGTGAAGACAGAAACGGAGCGGGAGTGAGAAGAAAAGTGCTCAAGGAAAAGGCGTTTTAGAACCGTAGGAGGGGTAAAAGCTTTAGTGATATGGGTCAAGGAAGTACAAAACCGCGGAAGAGGGACTCTCCACGGGGGCAAAGAAGGAACAACACGAGGAGAAACATTAGAAATACGAACGGAAAGAGAATCCTGGAGGCGAGATAACCGGACAGAAAGAGGGAGGTGGTGAAGAGGAACAGGAACCGCAGGAGGGGTAAAAGTTAAAGCACGACAGAGGCGAGAGGAAGGATGTTGTAAGGACCGCGCAAGATAGCGAAGACAGTAGCGATCACGGCGGTCCTGGAGAGACAGGAAGCCAGTGCGCCTATCTGCTCCCCAAGAAGTATGGGACAAGACCCGAAGGAGGGTAAGGGCCTTAGAGCACTCAACACGGAGGCAAGAGATATGGGGAGACCAAGACAAACGAGTGTCAAGGAATAACCCCAAAAGCTTTGCGAAATCTTTGTATTCAAGGGGATGACCATAAAGTGACAAAGAGGGACGAAGAACAACCCGTTTCCGCATAAAAGTCATGGCACAAGTCTTAGAAGTAGAGAACTTGAAGCCATGATCGATGGCCCAAGACGACACGGCATCAATTGCAAGTTGAAGCCGGCGCTGAAGGAGAGGCGAATCATCACCCTGACAGCAAAGGGTAAGATCATCGACATAGAGAGCGGAGAAGACACCAGAAGGAAGAGAAGAAAGAAGACCATTGAGGGCAACCAGAAAAAGAGTAGTGCTCAGAACACTACCCTGGGGCACACCTTCGTATTGCTGAAAAGAGGCAGAGAGAGCGGTACCAAGGCGCACCCGAAAGGAACGACGGGAGGAAGCTGCGGAGAAAGAGAGGGAGATGACCACGAAGGCCAAAAGAATGAAGTTGAGATAGAATATGATATCTCCAAGTGGTGTCGTAAGCCTTTTCCAGGTCAAAAAGGACGGCAACAACGGAGGTCTTCGCAGCAAAAGCAGTACGAATATAGACCTCCAAGTTCACCAGGACATCTGTCGTGCTGCGGCACTTGCGGAAACCAAATTGAGAAGGGGAGAGGAGGTGATGGTGTTCCAGGAACCACATCAGACGAACGTTAACCATACGTTCAAAGAGTTTGCAGACACAACTTGTGAGAGCAATAGGGCGAAAGTCCTTAGGGGAAGTACCCAGAGACCCCGGTTTGCGAACAGGGAGGACAACGGCATCGAGCCAGTCCTCAGGGACTGACGACGACTCCCAGATCCGATTATACAGACTCAGTAAATACTGAGACGTGCACGGAGGGAGATGGCGAAGCATCTCATAATGAATACCATCGGAGCCCGCCGCCGTAGAACCGCAGAGGGCCAGGGCAGAACGAAGTTCAGAGAGAGAGAGAAGGGATCATTATAGGGAAGTTGAAGACGAGTGCAGAAATCTAAAGGACGAGACTCAAGGACAGGTTTACAAAGAAGAAAAGATTGGGGAAGATGAAGACCAGAGCTAACAGAAGAAAAGTGGGAACCCAGTACAGAAGCGACCTGCAACGGGTCCGCCACAAGAGTATCATGGAGGTGAAGGACCGGTGAAACATCGGGAACGAACTTACCCGCTATCTTGCGGATACGCTTCCAGATCTGGGCCAGAGGAGTTTCGGACGTAATTGTTGAGACATAAGATGCCCAACATTCACGTTTAGCCGTACGGATGGCCCTATGGGTTACCGCACTCGCTTTCCGAAAGAAAAGAAAAGAATCGGTCGTCTGCCTACGGCGGTGCTTCTTCCAGGCTGCACGCTTACAGCGGACAGCCCGAGCACAGTCCGCATTCCACCAGGGAACGCACTTCCGTGGACCCCGAGAGGAAGAGCGAGGGATAGAGCGGAGGGCAGCATTGAAGACAGTGTCATGAAAAAGGAGGAGAGCGCGAGAGAGAGGCAGAAGGGAGAGGTCAGAGAGAGTAGCACTGAGGGAAAATAGGGTCCAGTCCGCCTTAGCAAACTGCCACCTAGGGAAAGAGAGGGAAGGGCGAAAAGAGAAAAAGGAAACAAGGATGGGGAAATGATCACTTCCATGGAGGTCATCAAGAACCTGCCACGTGAAATCTAAGTAAAGAGAAGAAGAGCAGAGAGAAAGATCAAGACAAGAAAGGGTGCGAGTCCGAGAGTCCAAATGAGTGGGCTCACCAGAATTCAGAAGAGACAGGGAAGAAGAGAGGAGAAACGGCTCAAGAAGGCGACCCCGGGTATTCGTCAGAACGTCACCCCAAAGAGAATGACGACAATTGAAGTCACCCAGCAGGAGCACTGGCTCCGGCAAGGAGTCTAGGAGGTGTTTCAAATCAGGAAAAGAAAGCGGGACACTCGGGGGGAGATAAATGGAACAAACTGTGTACCATTTCCCCACAAAGATACGAGCAGCAGAACAATGGAGAGGCGAAGGAAAAAGTAAAGGAACAAAGGGAACATCAGCACGAATCAAAAGAGCAGAAGAATTAGAAACCCCAGCAACAGCTGGGAGGGGGGGAGAGAAAGGAATAGCCACGAAAACGACCAGGACGAGCACCAAGCATCGGCTCCTGGAGACAGACACAAAGGGGCGAAAACCGTGAAATCAGAAGTTGGAGTTCGAGGAAATTGGCGTAATAACCTAGAACGTTCCATTGAAGAATGGACAACGACGAGAAGAGAAAGGACAAAAACAGAGAACAAGGAAGAAACAAAGGCGAAAGAGCAACAGAGCACGTTAAAGAATATCAGGGTCGGGATCAGGGTCAGCAAAGTCAGGGTTAGGGGGCATGGGTAAACTGAGCAAAGACGGAGGGAAGGAAACGAGAGAACAGACCAGAGGTGGGCGGGCGGGGTCCGGAGGAGGAGGAAGAGGAGGAGACAACGGAGAGGAGCAGTCAAGGACAGCAGCAGGAAGAGGGGGGGTAGAAAGAGGGGAGCGTACCTCAGCAAGGGCAGCAACTGAGAGGGAAGCGGGGGCTAAAGAAACCTCCATAGCAGGAACAGGGGGCGCAACCACCGAAATGGGAGGGGAAGGAGCGAGAGAGGCAGAAGTAGGGGCCGAGGAAGAAAGCGAAACCTTCTTACCGCCGGGGAGGAGGAAGGAGAGGAGCCAGGTTTACGCTTCTGACGTAAAGAGACCGGTGTCCCAGCAACCACGTACTGGGCAACGGATTCTAGCGTCTCAACTAGAGAAGCTGAACGAGAGCACACATGACGGCCGTTTGGAGAGCGATGGACATCAGCCCGCACCGACAGGCGGCGGGGAGAGTCAAGAGACGGAGGAAAAGGATGGGAAGGAGGAACGGTGGGAGACGAGGAAGAAGAGACAGAAGACACGACAGACCGGGTAGAAGGAAGGGGAACCCCAGACAGAGGACCAGGAGGAGGATCCTTCGGGAGAGAACCCAAAGGAACAGAGGAGGAGGCAGTGGGCGCATCAGGGTCCAAGGCCCGGAAACGGTTGCGAGTCTGAGGAAGGCGGGAAGGACGAGGAGAGGAAGAGCGCAACACGCGAGCATAAGAGATATTAGCATAAGGCGGGAGCCGGCGAACCTGGCGTCTCGCCTCAGGAAAAGATAAACGCTCCCGGTGCTTCAAGTTGAGGACGGCTGCCTCAAGCTTGTAATGGACACACGCACGGGAGAAGGAAGGATGGGCCTCACCGCAGTTGAGGCAACGAGCCTGGGGAGAAGTGCACTCCGACTTAGAGTGACCTTCGCCACCACACAAAGGACAGAGAGAGACAGTCCCGGAGCAGCGGAGGGCACCATGCCCTTCTTCCCCCTCTCCCTCTCCCCTTCCCCCTTCCTCCTTCCCCCTCTCCCTCTCCTCCCCTTCCCTTCCCCTTCCCTTCCCCCCTCTCCTCCCCCCCCCCCCCCCCCCCCCCCCCCCCCCCCCCCCCCCCCCCCCCCCCCCCCCCCCCCCCCCTTTTTCCTTCCTCCCTTTCCCCTTTCCCTTTTCCCCGTTCCCTCCCCCCCCCCCTCCTCCCCTTTCCCCTCTCCTCCTTCCTTCCTTCCTTCCCCCCTCTCTCCTTCTTCTTCCTTCCTTCCCCTCCTCTCTCCTTCCTTCCTTCCTCCTCCCCTCTCCTCCCTTCCTCCTTCCTCCTTCCCCTCTCTCTCTCCTTCCTTCCTTCCCCCCTCTCTCTCCTTCCTTCCTTCCTTCCCCTCTCTCTCTCCTCCTTCCTTCCTCCTCTCTTCCTCCTTCCTTCCCTCCGCTCTCTCCTTCTTCCTTCTTCCTCTTCCTGCTCCTTCCTTCCTTCCCCTCTCTCCTTCCTCCTTCCTTCCCCCTCTCTCTCGCCTTCCTTCCTCCTTCCTCCCCTCCTCTCTCCTTCCTCCTCCTTCCCCCCTCCTCTCCCTTCCTTCCTTCCTTCCTTCCCCTCTCTCCTCCCTTCCTTCGTCCTCCTTCCCTCTCTCTCCTTCCTTCTTCCTTCCTTCCCCTCGCTCCTCCTTCCGTCCTTCTTCTTCCTTCCCCCTCTCTCCTCCTCCTCCTCCCCTCCTCTTCTCTCCTCCTTCCTTCCTTCCCCTCTCCTTCTCTCCTTCCTTCCCTCCCCTCCCTTCCTCCTCCTTCCTCTTCCTCCTCCTCCTTCCCCTCATTCCCTCTCCCCTCTCCTTCTTCCTTCCCCTCCTCTCTCCTCCTTCCCCTCTCGCTCTCCTCCTTCCTTCCTCCCCTCCTCTCTCCTTCCTTCCTTCCTTCCCCTCTCCTCCTTCTTCCTTCCTCCTCTCCTCTCTCTCCTTCCCCTTCCTTCCTCCCTCTCTTCTCTCTCTCCTCCTTCCTTCCCCCCTCGCTCTCTCTTCCTTCCTTCCTTCCCCTCTCTCTCTGCTCCTCCTTCCTTCCCCCCTCTCTCGCCTCCTTCTTCCTTCCCCTCTCTCTCCTCTCCTCCCTCTCTCTCTCTCTTCTCTCCCTCTTTTTTCCCCCTCCCCCTCCCCTTTTTCCCTTTCCCCCCCCCCCCCTTTCCCCTTTTCCCCCCTCCCCTTTCCCCCCCCTTTTCCCCTTTCCCCCCCCCCCCCCCCCCCCCCCCCCCCCCCCCCCCCCCCCCCCCCCCCTTTCCCCCCCCCCCCTTTTTGGGGCCCGGGCCCCCCCCTTTTTCCCCGGTCCCCTCTCTCCTCTCTCCCCCCTCTCCCTCTCCCTCCTCCCCCTCCTCTCCCTTCCGAAGACAGCGGTCCTGAGAGGGGCTATGCCTCGGATCTGCGAGGCTCACCAGTCGGAGTCCCACAAGGTTCAGTCCCTCTGAACCTATACGTCTCGGCCTCTAAATCAACTTGATCCTCCCAGAGGGGGTAGAATCGTTCCTCCTCTCTGCTCTGCTGCCTGCGATCAAATTACGTGGAGAGTTCTAAAGAGCAGGAGGCCAAATTGAGACTATAAGTGGCCTCACGACTCGAGTATGTCCAACATGGCTACTACAGTTCGTAACCTCACTAAGGTAATGAAACTAGGCGTGAAACAGGCTCCACAGTACAGAATGGATCGAAGTCCTTCATGAAACGGACAGAGGGAAAATCTAGAGCTTCGATTCCCCTAACCTGTCTCCTGAAGCCCACATAAAAAGAATTACGTCTGCGGCATATGCGAGGCTAGCTAACATCAGAACAACCTTCAAGAACCTGTAAAAGGAATCATTCAGAACCTTGTACACCACATAAATAAGACCAATGCTGGAGTATGAGGACCCCAGCATGGACCCCGTACCTTGTCAAGCACAAGACGAAGCTGGAAAAGGGTCAGAAGTATGCCACTAGGCTAGTCCTAGTGGCATATGCATCTCACGACGCTGGAAGATAGAAGAGTAAGGTGAGACATGATCAGTATCTACATAATTCTCAGAGGAATTGACAGGGTAGATATGGATAAACTTTTTAACACGGGTGGTACGCAAACAAGGGAACAGAGGTGGAGACTGAATACTCAAATGAGCCACAGGGATGTTAAACTTTTTCAGTGTCTGAGTAGTTAACAAGTGGAATGCATTAGGCAGTGATGTGGTGGAGGCTGATGCCATACACAGTTTTAAATGTAGATATGAAAGAGCCCAGTAGACTCAGGAATCTGTACATCAGTTGATTGATGGTCGAGAGGCGGGACCAAAGACCCAGAGCTCAACCCCCGCAAGCACAACTAGGCGAGTACACGCGTACACACACACAAATAGGTAAGTACACACACACTCTCCACAGTCATGTGGGAGGGTCGGGGGCTTGTGCGCTACGCAATATTACTCAATATTTTCGGGCATATTAGGAATACAGTGTTGGATCACGGATCTTGGTTATCACAAAGTATACAAACGCACATAGGAAAAAAAAAAGATTACAATGATATCACTAAGAACTTTGGTGTTAAACAAAAAATCACCAGCACGAGGCCACCAGGTTATACAGTGTGGAGGACAGGACAAGCACCCAGCACCAACCACCAGGTTATACGTGTGGAGGACAGGACAAGATCACCAGCACCAGGCCACCAGGTTATACAGTGTGGAGGACAGGACAAGATCACCAGCACCAGACCACCAGGTTATACTGTGGAGGACAGGACAAGATCACCAGCACCAGACCACCAGGTTATACAGTGTGGAGGACAGGACAAGATCACCAGCACGAGGCCACCAGGTTATACAGTGTGGAGGACAGGACAAGATCACCAGCACCAGGGCCACCAGGTTATACAGTGTGGAGGACAGGACAAGATCACCAGCACCAGGCCACCAGTTTATACAGTGTGGAGGACAGGACAAATCACCAGCACCAGGCCACCAGGTTATACAGTGTGGAGGACAGGACAAATCACCAGCACCAGGCCACCAGGTTATACAGTGTGGGGACAGGACAAGATCACCAGCACCAGGCCCACCAGGTTTACATTGTGGAGGACAGGACAAGATCACCAGCACCAGGTTATACGTGTGGAGGACAGGACAAATCACCAGCACCAGACCACCAGGTTATACAGTGTGGAGGACAGGACAAGATCACCAGCACCAGGCCACCAGGTTATACAGTGTGGAGGACAGGACAAGATCACCAGCACCAGGCCACCAGGTTATACATGTGGAGGACAGGACAAGATCCCAGCACCAGGCCACCAGGTTATACAGTGTGGAGGACAGGACAAGATGAACCAGCACCAGGCCACCAGGTTATACAGTGTGGAGGACAGGACAAGATCACCAGCACCAGCCACCAGGTTATACAGTGTGGAGGACAGGACAAGATCACCACCCAGGTTATACAGTGTGGAGGACAGGACAAGATCACCAGCACCAGACCACCAGGTATACAGTGTGGAGGACAGGACAAGATCACCAGCCCCAGGCCACCAGGTTTGCAGTGTGGAGGACAGGACCAGATCACCAGCACCAGGCCCCAGGTTTATACAGTGTGGAGGACAGGACAAGATTACCAGCACCAGGCCACCAGGTTATAAGTGTTGGAGGACCAGGACAAGATCACCAGCACCAGGCCACCAGGTTATACAGTGTGGAGGACAGGACAAGATCACCAGCACCAGGCCACAAGGTTATACAGTGTGGAGGGACAGGACAAGATCACCAGCACCAGGTTATACAGTGTGGAGGACAGGACAAGATCACCAGCACCAACCACCAGGTTATACAGTGTGGAGGACAGGACAAGATCACCAGCACCAGGCCACCAGGTTATGCATGTGGAGGACAGGACAAGATCACCCAGCACCAGGCCACCAGGTTATCAGTGTGGAGGACAGGACAAGATTACCAGCACCAGGCCACCAGGTTATACAGTGTGGAGGACAGGACAAGATCACCAGCACCAGGCCACCAGGTTATACAGTGTGGAGGACAGGACAAGATCACCAGCACCAGGCCACCAGGTTATACAGTGTGGAGGACAGGAAAGATCACCAGCACCAGACCACCAGGTTTACAGTGTGGAGGACAGGACAAGATCACCAGCACCAGGCCACCAGGTTTATGCAGTGTGGAGGACAGGACAAGATCACCAGCACCAGGCCACCAGGTTATACAGTGTGGAGGACAGGACAAGATCACCAGCACCAGGCCACCAGGTTATACGTGTGGAGGACAGGACAAGATCACCAGCACCAGGCCACCAGTTATACAGTGTGGAGGACAGGACAAGATCACCAGCACCAGGCCACCAGGTTATACAGTGTGGAGGACAGGACAAGATCACCAGCACCAGGCCACCAGGTTTATACAGTGTGGAGGACAGGACAAGATCACCAGCACCAGGCCACCAGGTTATACAGTGGTGGAGGACAGGACAAGATCACCAGCTCCAGGCCACCAGGTTATACAGTGTGGAGGACAGGACAAGATCACCAGCACCAGGCCACCAGGTTATACAGTGTGGAGGACAGGACAAATCACCCAGCACCAGGCCACCAGGTTATACAGGTGGAGGACAGGACAAGATCACCAGCACCAGGCCACCAGGTTTATACAGTGTGGAGGACAGGACAAGATCACCAGCACCAGGCCACCAGGTTATACAGTGTGGAGGACAGGACAAGATCACCAGCTCCAGGCCACCAGGTTTATACAGTGTGGAGGACAGGACAAGATCACCAGCACCAGGCCACCAGGTTATACAGTGTGGAGGCAGGACAAGATCACCAGCACCAGGCCACCAGGTTATACAGTGTGGAGGACAGGACAAATCACCAGCACCAGGCCACCAGGTTATACAGTGTGAGGACAGGACAAGATCACCAGCACCAGGCCACCAGGTTATACAGTGTGGAGGACAGGACAAGATCACCAGCACCAGGCCACCAGGTTTATACAGTGTGGAGGACAGGACAAGATCACCAGCACCAGGCCACCAGGTTATACAGTGTGGAGGACAGGACAAGATCACCAGCACCAGGCCACCAGGTTATACATTGTGGAGGAACAGGACAAATCACCAGCACCAGGCCACCAGGTTATACAGTGTGGAGGACAGGACAAGATCACCAGCACCAGGCCACCAGGTTATACAGTGTGGAGGACAGGACAAGATCACCAGCACCAGGCCACCAGGTTATACAGTGTGGAGGACAGGACAAGATCACCAGCACCAGGCCACCAGGTTATACAGTGTGGAGGACAGGACAAGATCACCAGCACCAGGCCACCAGGTTATACAGTGTGGAGGACAGGACAAGATCACCAGCACCAGGCCACCAGGTTATACAGTGTGGAGGACAGGACAACATCACCAGCACCAGGCCCACCAGGTTATACTGTGGAGGACAGGACAAGATCACCAGCACCAGGCCACCAGGTTATACA